AAAAAAAAATCACTAATTCATCTTCACCCGTTACTTCCTTCTCACATGACCTGATTTCCTCCTTCTTTCCTGAGTGTCACCTGTGTAATGCAAGACTGTCTCTGAGTTGTCTCCCTGCTCTCTGCAGCCTCGTTTCTAACCTTGTCTCCTGTTTCCTTTTCTTTATCTCTCTCTCTCTCTCTCGGTCTTTTTCTCTCCAGCATCCAAGATGGCAATGAGCAGCATCCTCAAAGCAGATGACATCAAGAAAGCTCTAGATGCATTTGCAGGTAAGACACTTGCTAAAGACATTTTGTCCTGACAGGTAAAACCCCACCCTGTACTTTGGGGACACTTTATTATGACCGTTTTTATGTCAAGTGCATCTCTCATTGTAACGTTTTGGAGTAAATCCAACTTTAAAGTCCTGACATTGTGGCTTCTTGTGCTTTCACGTCTGAAGCTGCTGACTCTTTTGACCACAAGAAGTTTTTCGAGATGGTGGGTCTGAAGACCAAGTCCTTCAGTGATGTGAAAAAGGTCTTTGCGGTGCTCGACGCTGACAACAGCGGCTTCATAGAGGAGGAGGAGCTCAAGTAAGAAAAACACGCACAGAGATAAGCAAAAGCACATTAAATACAGTGATGGAAATGCATTTTGTGACTTTGTTGCCAGATTTGTCCTGAAGGGGTTTGCCAGTTATGGCAGAGACCTGACAGACAAAGAAACCAAAGCGTTTTTAAAAGCAGCTGATAAGGACGGCGACGGCAAGATTGGAATCGATGGTAAACACAATCCACTTTTTCTGTTTGCATGTCTCTCAAGTGTTGAATGCCGTCACAGAATGACATTGTCGTGTTTTTATTTTAAAAATTGTTTAAAGAATCAGATGATCTGTTGTCAGTTAGCTCATTCATTCATGCTGGCTTGCTGTGCATCAACACACACTGATGCTTTGGTATAAAATATTAAAACAATAGCTCAGATCTTTCCAAATGGGATTCTGTGGAATGATCATCAGCAACTAATATCTTACCTGTTGTAGATAGTTCTTTAAACAACATCAGCTTAAAGTTTCATTCGGACTGGACTGACGAGTCTGTATATGGGGTGCTGTTTGTAAGGTTACACGGTCAAAAATTAACAGCAATATTTTGGTTTATTTAGACTTTCATAAGAAAAAAATAGTTTGTTTTTTTTCAAATTCAGATTTTCACCATGTTGTTTATACATTTATAAATGTCATAGTTTCAAACTAAATATTTAATTTGCAAGCTAAAAATTTAGTTTACAAATAAAATACTTAACTTGCAAGTAAATATTTAGTAAGCAAGCTAAATATTTAGTCAACAAACTAAATGGTTATGTTCAAGCTAAATGTTTAATTTACAAACTCAATATTTAACATACAATTTAAATATTTAGTTTGTGAACTAAATATTTAGGTGTAAATTAATTGTTTAATTTCTAATCTAAATATTTATTTTCAAAACTAAACATTTAATTTCTAAGCTAAACATTTAATTCCTAAACTATATATTTAATTTGATAACTAAAAATTTAGCTCCAACCTAAATATTTATTTTCCAAGCTAAACATTTAATTTCCAAAATATTTAATTTGCTAACTAAATATTTAGCTCGGCCCTAAATATTTTACGTGCTAGCTAAATATTTAACTTCCAAGTTAAATATTTAGGTCCGAGCTAAATATTTTGTTAGCAAATTAAATATTTATTTTGGAAAATAAATGTTTAGCTTGGAAAATAAATATTTAGGTCAGAGCTAAATTTTTAGTTAGCAAATTAAATATTTAGTTTAGGAATTAAATGTCTAGCTTAAAAATTAAATGTTTAGTTTTGTAAAAAAAAAGTTTAGCTTTGAAAATAAATAATTAGCTTGGAAATTAAATATTTAATTTACAAATAAATATTTAGTTCACCAAGTCAATATTTAACTTGCAAGTTAAATGCAATTTAACTTGCAAGTTAATTATTTAGTTTGTAATTTAAACATTTATCTTCTACATAAACATTTAGTTTGTAAACTAAATATTTAGTGTGGAGCTAAATATTTAGCTTGCAAGTTAAACACTTACTTGCAAACTAAATATTTAACTTGCAAACTAAATATTTAGTTTTGAACTATGACATTTATAAATGTATGAATACAATGATGAAAATATGACTTTGAAAAAAAAATCTTGTTTTTCTTATTAAAAGCTAAAAATAAAATAAAATATTGCTGTTAATTTTTGACTGTGTAACTGTACAAATGGCACCCCATATCAGTACAAGCAGGGCTGATATATAAGGAGACCATCTTCAACCCAGATAAGAGACATTCTGTCTTAAAGGTGTAGCAAAATCGCAGGTGTATGAAAGAAGGCTACATTCCATTTAGAAGATGTTTTGATCTGGAGCGCTTTTACGGAAAAACTTGCATGAACAGCTGCAAAAGAGGAATGCAGCTGTCATGAAAACACCTCCTCTTTCAAAATAAAAAGTCTGCCATAAAACAGCCTCAGCTCAGAAACTGCACCGACCTTAACACCGTCACCAGGTTCATTTACAAAGAATTCAGTGGTTGTTTCCCACTGAAACTAGAAGCAGCTAGCTGTAGCACTTCAGATGCAAACTGAGGTCCACATGTAAGGAACATTTTTTTTTTTTTTCTGCTGGAACAATCATGTACCTGTAATGTGAATTTGGTGGCACTGTAAACATTTGCTGATTGACATTTTTCTGATAAGGCTTTTTTTATTTTAAGAACTTATTTGGTTTTAGGCTGAGTTCCATTCATCTCAAAAGTTGGATCCAGGATCTGCGAACCAGTTGCAAGTCGGGGGGAAAACAAAAGGACTAGCAAAGTGTTCTGCTCAGTAACCATGAACCACCTGTAACATGTTGGCTAACAGAAATTGTAAAGTCATGTGTATGGATAAAATATTGATCACCAGGCAGGGGTGAGGAGTAAGAGATTTTTTTTAAATCTATTGCCAAATCTAAACAATTGAAAACAGTTAACAGCGTTAGTCCCAACTTGGCATCTAGTCAGAACTTTTAAAACTAAATAAAGGATAACAATGTAATATGTTACTTTTAAAAAGTATTGAGGGCCATGCTCTTGTAATGTTGAGTCTGCAGGTTTGAGTCCAGGTTGTGACGGGGGGGGGGGGGGGGGGGCATCTGGTGTAAAACAATTACGATATCTTTCCTGTAAGTTCGCTCGAGGTGGCGACCCCTGCAGAAGGGATCAGCTGAAAGAAAAACAACTTTTATAAAGTAAATGGAATAGTAACACTGCTATTTTAAATGGAGTTACTTTTATTTGTGACTACGTATTCAAAGAAACCTTCTCAGACTTGCCAGCAAAATGAACACGTGCAAGGCAGCCATATTGGATTTTAGGCTGCTGTTTGGTCAAAGATTTTTAATTTTCTGAGTTGGAATTCTGACTTTAGGGAAAGTGCCAAGTTATTTTTCTGACTTCAAACAACAAAAAAAGAAATACTTTAAAGTAAAAATAGAACACACTATTACCACTGCTCATCTCAAGATCTAAAGAATCTAACGAAAGATCTGAAGCTCTCGACCTTGACCTCTCTAAGTGGCTTCAAACATCTGTTAAGTTCCTGGCAAAAACTAATGCAGACATGCTCCTATTTTTAGTTTTCTACACCACCCTACAATCTAGCAGGCTTTTTAGCTACTTTTCCTTTTAACTATACTTTTAATTACCATTTTATTTTCACTTATTTATTTTTTTAATTTGTATGCATCTTTTGTGGTTGTTTATTGTTGTCTTTGTTGTCCACTGTTGTCATCATCTTTGTTAAAATCAGGTCTCTCTTGTAAATGAGTCTCCGAGGCTCAATGGGATTACCTTGTCTAGATAAAGGTTGAATGAATATCCGTTAGCATCAAGATATATTGTATATAGACCAGAAGTTAAATTTGTCACAGATTAGCACCCCCTAGTGGTGGACTGAAGCAACTTTTAAAGTCCTGCTTCATGTAAACAAATACGGGAAATGAGCAGTGGTGGGCACAGGTAACCAAATAGTTAGCATTGCTAACTGATATTCCGCTAAATAAAAATTTAGTTTTGGTGATGCTAAACAGGTTAAAAATTTAAATAAAGCTACATCGCTAAATAGACTGTCGCTCAGTCTGCGTCACACATCTTTGCCTACTTGCAGTTGTCACGTGTACATGTAGTCAGCCAATCGCGTGCCTAACGGACTCTTTGAGACACGCCCACAACAGACAGGAACAACTTTGTGAATTTTGTTAGTGGACTTAATTGGTGAAACCTAATTTAGCAGAAGCTAATTCTGCTAAAAGTTTCCAAAGATATTGGAAACGCTAATCCGCTAAACAAAAAATTAGTTCCGCTATTAGCTGTTAGCGTGTTAGCGAAACTGTGTCCACCACTGGACTTTTGCAACACCAAGAAAAGTAAGGGGAACGTTTGCATTGAAGCCCTGATTCCTGAGCCTATGACTCCCAAAAACACACGGCAGAACTCAAAAAAACAGATAGTTTGTCTTCAAATTGGATCACCCTGAGGAAGCAGAGTTGCTTTGTTCATCTTTATTAATGTGGATAGCTGTCAGCTAGCTGAGAGCTGTTAGATGGTCAAACCTACACTCTGTTTCTCTAAACTGAAGCTAGCAAAGAAACTTTCCGAAACACAATTACTGTTTATAAAATCCCAGCAGAAGTCCACTGTGATATCTGAACAGTTGCTATAATGATCTTTGGTTTTTCACATCTCACCTTTAAAATATGGGTTCTAACTGCAGAGAACATTAGAACATTATGGTGGCTCTTTAGTGAGTTTGTCTGATATTAACCGAACTGAAAACGTTTCCTCTTCAAATCCTGACAGTCTGTTTCTTTCTCTTCTCTTTCAGAATTCGCTGCCCTTGTAAAAGAATGAACAGCTACCATGAAAGCCCACCTCCATCACCATGACTCCCCCTCTCCTCCCCGCCCTCCTGACAGAAGCCAAATCGCTCCTCCCCGCTCTGCTGTCTTCACAAAGTGTGATGCTGCAGTGAAGCAGGCTGCAATCCGCAGCCCCCCCTCACACACAGCAGTGTTCCCTCTTTATTGTAGGTTTTTATACAAACTTCGTCTTCACTCGTAGTTATCAAATATGGCTGCAGGAATGTCACGTTTTAAAGGATATGGCTTGAAATACATCATTTCCTGCTAGATTTGTTCCTCTCTCAGCTTGTTCTTCCACTTTGCCACTTTCTTTCTTCTGTTCTGTTGATATCACTTCTAGCCCCCACCCCCCACCTTCTCCCACCATCACTCATCCAGTCACTGTCCATCTCTCTACCCTCGGATGAGGAGCTGTGATGGGAAAAAAAAGAAGCTGTGAAAGAATAAAGTAACATTTTAAAATAGCCTCAACTCGTTTGGATCTTCTGTTAAGAATATATACTTTTCTTTAATCCAGCGTACACTTTGTGCTTTTTTTTTTTTTTTTTTCTCAAGAGGGTCGATCAAATCAGAGTATGGAGGAAAATAAATGACCTCAGAGCAAACCTTTGGCAAGCATGGAGACACCCTGACTGTCCAGTTTGTGAATGGACTTTCTCACAGGGAGAAAAAGTAAAACGCGCACGAGTCCAGCTGCTGAATAGACTTTCCTCAGAAGCGTGAAGCTGCTGCTGCTGAGCCATTAGCAGGATTGGATTCACACGAAGGCTCGATTTAGGTTAAGTATCCCCAGCAGAGAGCTCATAGGTGGCTCAAGATTCTCTTTTAGAAGGACTTTTTTTTGGCCCAAGCAGAAAACCTCAGATCTGCTGCTTTAATCAGCAGCAGAAAACATCACCATGCACTAAGTGGGTGATTTTATTGGAAGGATGAATAAAAAATTGAAGGAGTGGGGTGCATTCATGTGCAGAATTTTCCACTTTAGCTCTTATTGAGATTAAAAATGTTGATTATTTTATTTATTTCAGTTTAAAGGTTGATTAATTCAAAAAAGAAGTGAAGAAATCTTGATTTAAACCTCATATGACGGATCAACGCTGACATTTGGATACAGGCTCAAATAAGTTACAACCAGTGAAGATGATATAAAATTACCATTTAATACAGAACATTTTTTAGAACACCTCTGCCTGAAAAAAAAAAAAGTCTTAGTTTAATATGTCTGTATAATTCCATTCAAGCTGTTTTCTAAAACACATTTGCTGCACATTCATTGTTCAGCAACTCACATGACGAGCATTTAGAAATAAATGGAGCCAATTTAACACAAAAAAAGCAGAAGCAAATAGTTAAATCAGTGACATGGCATCAAGTCCTGAGCTACATATGACACAACGTTTACAGACAAATACATCTGAGTGCATATTTAAAATATTCTCAGCACTTTTGGAAAACAACTCTTTCATCATTTACACGTCGCAGAAAGCAATGATTTCATCCTGAAATTATAATAATTGTAGTAATTCCCACAACTGGTAAAATACTTTTAAAAAAATTCTTCAATATCTCATATGGGGTTCTGTGGAGAGGGTTTGAACAATAAAAATCTTACCTGTTGTAGAAATTAAGATTTTTGAACCACCACAAATTCTGACCTGATAGACATGTTCACAGCTAGTCCTAACTGAGCTGAGTGGTATCTCCCTGGCAGTGCTTAATTAGTAAACCAAATAATGCCGGAACGCAAATAGCAGTGTGTGTGTGTGGGGGGGTTCTGGTGATCCACCTCCTGAAAATTTTGAATAAAGTAGATGCCATTTCCTGCATTCTGGTGTATTTTAACAGGTTGTTAAACATCTATGTTTACCTACATTTGTAAACACTTGATTCAATAACTATAGTATAGAGCAACAAGAAGTAGCCTGACCGACAGCTCTCCTTGTGTGAAGAGAGCACGCTCCACTTTTATCAAGCATCCTAACCCCCCACTCCTCCATCAAGTATTATCTCCATTGCCACTGCCTTTGTGTGCTTCAGTTCTCGGTTGTTTAGTTGTACAATGAAAAGACTTAAAAAAAAAAAAAAAAGAAAGTAAGCTGTTACTTTGACAAATTGGTGCTGCTGCACCCATCAAACGTCCATCCATCCATCCATTTTCTTTACCCGCTTATTCCATTTTGGGTCACGGGGGTCGCTGGTGCCCATGTCCAGCAATCACTGTGCGAGGGGCGGGGTACACCCTGGACGGGTCGCAAGTCCATCACAGGGACACATAGAGACAAACGAGACAAACAACCATTCAATCTCTCACTCACACCTAGGGACAATTTAGAGTTACCAATCAGCCTAACATGCATGTTTTTGGACTGTGGGAGGAAACCGGAGTACCCGGAGAAAACCCACGCATGCACGGAGAGAACATGCAAACTCCACCCAGAAAGGCCCCTGGACCGGGGTTTGAACCAGGGACCTGCTCGCTGAGAAGCAGCAGCTCTACCAGTTGCGCCACCGTGCTGCCTCCCATCAAACGTGTCTCACATATTTTTAATAAATAATACAAATTTTACTAATGACCCACTTAAACTGCGAAACTGATTTGCAGTTTAGTTGTGCTGTTTAATTATATTTTTGTGTTTTTAATCAAATTGCCCATGACTGTACTTTTTGGGGCGATGATTTCTTCTAAGGATAGAGGTGGAAATGCTTACTTGAAGGTGCAGCTCTGATGTGATATTAAGAAGCTCGTGAGTGGTTGTTATGTTTAAAAATAGTGTTTATGTAATTATTTTCAGATTACATATCCAATCTATGTTTTACTTGTTCAAGGCAGTCAAATTTGGTCATAACTTTATTATTAGTATGCCTAAGAGTTACTGGGTCCAAGCAAACAGTTACCAAAATGCACCTTGTCAAAATAAGAGAGTTCCCGGATCCTGTTCTGGCAGGATCCAGCTCAAATTAAGTCCTGCTCACTGGGCTACAACTGTTGGTGACTGAAAATTGCAAGAAAATGTTGCAATTTTATTGAATATGCATTTGGGACCAGTGAGCCATTTTGCATTTTGATCTCTCAGTTTCTTTTAAATAACAACACGTTGTGTGCACAGCTTGCAAAACTGTACTCCAGGCTGTCCACATTATTTGTCCACACATCTCAGAGAGCATCATGCTCACAAGGGCTCAGTTTGTACTGCTGACCCCCCATGTTCATGATTTCATTTACTGAAATACATTTTTGTAATAATTTAGACCCTTTTAAAAAGGAAAAAAAAATCCTTAGTGTGGTTCAAGGGATGAGTAATTGTGCAATATGATAAATGACATAAGTGTAAACAGTTATAAAATTGCAACCCAATATGAATGAGTGTTGTTTTAAGACAGCAGGAATCACATTTAGTACTTTATCTGGTCATATTTCAAACCAATTTTCTTCAAATTGAGGTAATCTGAAAAGCTATCTAAAACAGGTAAGATAGTAATTGTTCATATCCTTTGTGCAGAACCCCACTTTAAAAGATCTGATCTATGATTTTACGACGGGTTTTGATGCATGCATGTTTGAATTTATGTCAAACATCATACACCGGGACCTGAAACTGCAGATTGCTGAACACGGAGTTTGCAGGTTATTTAATGGTTTAAGAAAATGTAAAAAATACTATATTCTCTATAAGTTTTGTTTAGATTTGTATGTAGTTTTTTCTCAGGAGTTTCGTCTTAATAATTAGGAGACATAACAAGCTACAATTAACCATCCAGCATACAGCTGAGGTCAAGAAGCTCTTGTTTCAGGGTCAGTAAGTCATCTCCGGTGAATCCGTGGGGCTGATCTGTCATTGGTGGACGTGGGCTTCAGTTTGACTGTAGCAAATGGATTGTCCCCTCTGTAAAATTACAGGAGAAAACAAAGAAAGCACATTGGTGCAGAACAGGAACATTGAGACAACAGAGTCAGAAGAAGTGCTGGCCTGTAGTGATGTTTGTAAGACCCGGCTGTGCAGAGATAGAGACGAGTGCCACGTTTCAAACATCATTTAGTGAGCCGCTCATCTGAAGGGACGTGATAGTCACGCTTCCTAAATGTCCATAACAGGAATGGTTTCAGTCTGTGTCTCAATCTCTAATGGAAGAGGAGCAATTCTGTGCCAGTCACATTACTGACCTCATCTATCGTCCTCACATTTAATGGCTTCATGATATACTTGAAAATTTTTTTAAAATTCAGCTCTTCTAAAGTAGAGAATGAGCAGACTTTCATTTAACAACCTTTTTCAGCTGCAGCTTCTTTATTCTTACCTTGGGAAGAGCTCCATTTCAGGTTTCTGTAGAAACAAAATGAAAAGAGGGAAGTGGTTAATAAAGAATGGTGCGACACAGAAATGAAGACAGATTTTTGTTTTCTGTCAGAAGCTGTCGACAGAACGAGGATAACCCTCGCTCTCTCTCTCTCTCTCTCTCTCTCTCTCTCTCTCTCTCTCTCTCTCTCTCTCTCTCTCTCTCTCTCTCTCTTTCTCTCTCTCTCTCTTTCTCTCTCACACACACGTGCACCACACACACGCACACACCTCACTTTGTGTCCAGAAGTGACAGAAATGGACATTTTTGCAGCAGAGAGGGAAATAGACCATATACATACACACACACACACACACACACACACACACA